GGAGACGACAGCGAGAGAGAGAGAGAGAGAGAGAGACAGAGAGAGAGAGACAGAGAGAGAGAGAGAGAGAGAGAGAGAGAGAGAGAGAGAGAGAGAGAGAGAGAGAGAGAGAGAGAGAGAGAGAGAGAGAGAGAGAGAGAGAGAGATGAGCATTGCATGCAAAGCAAACAACTTGCGAGAAACTTTTGCCCCAATGCAAGGCCCGTGGTTAAGCCAACGGATCTGGTCAGCCAAAATGGCCAATTATGGTGACACGGGAGGTCTCCCCGCCGTGGCCCTGGAGCTCACTTGGCCATCCTGGCCCGTCGGGCCATATGGGCCCGATAGGCTTCTCGGCCTGGGAGCCGCAGGCCTGTGTACGTTGGGCTCTGGCACTGCCCACAACCGCCTGGATTCCCTCGGCATTTGGGGCACCCGAAAATCGGTGGATCCCGCTTGTGCGGCGGCAGGTGGTCCTGGTTCTTGGCCACTGGCTTCGCTTGGTTCGCCTTTGCGCCTTGGCCTTGGCCTTAGCCTTGGGATTGGCCTTAGCCTTGGGATTGGCCTTAGCCTTGGGATTGGCCTTGGCCTTGGCCTTGGCTTTCGCTTTGGCTTTTGCCTTTGGCACGGCCTTCTCTTTGGCCTCAAGCTTCCTCTTCCTGAGTTCCTGGAAGTGCTGGTCCTCAAACTCCTGCAAAGTCTTTGGCTTGGAATTGCAGGGCTTCTCCGTACACATGTCTGGCTCGGCTGTGGCGAGCATGGGATCCGGCGGCACTGCTGCTTGGCTGCCCGCCTCATCATGGGCCGTAGCAGAAGTCTGCTGCAGTGCTGTTTGCTGCGACGGCTGCTGCAGCTGCAGTGGCTGGGGCGAGGGCTGCTGCAGTTGCAGTGGCTGCTGCGAGGGCTGCTGCAGCTGCACTGGCTGCTGCTGCTGCAGCGGCTGCTGCTGCTGCAGCGGCTGCTGCTGCAGCGGCTGCTGCTGCACCGCTTGGTTCTGGTCGTTCTGCACCGGCAGAAGTGCAAGCTGCGATGGTTGCTGCTGCGGTGTTGGCAGGTTCTGCATGCAAGAGTTTAATCTCTGGCTCTGCAGGTGGTGAAGCCCAGAGAGCATTTGGGCAGCTTTGGCCAGATGGTCATGGCTTCCATGTGCCTTGTTGGACTCCGCCGGCACATGATAGCCAACCAGCAAATGATGGTTCTTCCTCATGGGCACCTTCCTGTACCAAGCATGCAGAGGAAGCTTTTTATTGGCTGGACTGCAGCCATTCGTGTATGCTTGGCTCAGCCAGGCCTCGCCATTCTGGAGAGGATCCTCCGAGTAAGTGGCCAGTTTGGGCACAGTCAATCTTGGCCGTGCCGTGGAAGATGGCCTGGAAGTCGTCTACCATGGAATGTATGGCCCTCGGCTGCATCTGTGGTTGGCCTCGGCTGTGGTTGACGTAGAGCAGGGTGGCGAGCACCTGGTGCACCGTGTTCTCCTTCAGGGAGGTAAGGCCCATTGCTCGGAGCCTTTTGGCCATGACAGACATCTGGTCATCCTTGGATACGGCAGATTCGAGAGCCTGCCAATCCGCCGTGGTCAAGTATGCTGGCACATGGAATATCTTCTGGCCGCAAGTGGAGAGCTTGATGTGGGAGGCTTCGTTGGTCTGGCATGTCTCAACGGCCTCCTGGATGCTCTCCTTTATGGCATCTGGCAGCTCCATGCTTTGGACTTCACCGATCAATTGGATGATGCCTGCCGATGTCCAATTCTTGGCCGCACGGATCCTTTCCACGAGTGTGGTCGCCATGGTAGTGACGACCAGGCTCCCTGGCCGCATCTTAGTGAGCTGGCCCAGATGGCGAAGTTCAGACAAAAAGTCAGAAATGCTCCACACTTGGGACATGGCGGCACAAGTGTGGTCCTAAAACAAATTGGAATGCAGGCCAAGGTGGCTGCGAGGATGGCAGAGAAAGCACATCTCAAGCAATCTATAGCGGCACGTTGAAAGGCACATCCTATAGATACATTAGGACACACAGAAGACATGTATATGTAAAGACAGATATGCATGTCTATATATGTATATACACATAAAATATATGTCTGTGTCTCTTTATGTATGGACAACAACAGAAAACAGTACAGAATATAGAACACAGCGATTGTTGATTCTGGAAGGAGACATCATGCAAGCCAAAGTTGTCTGGATTTCTGCCAAAACAACATGAAGTTCGTGAGAGTTTAGATGAAAAAGAAAAGACACACACACACACACCCATGTACAGATACCATGTGAAACATATACAGTGTCCAGCTTTCTTGGCTAGCCAACAGAAAGAATGTATATATATATATATATGTTATATAGTTCAATTAAATGAATGTATGTATATATAAAGATGTACATATGTAGATAAACAGACAGATACACACATATATATATATATATATAGATATCTAAGTAATTATATATTATGTAGAAGACTCTATATGGAAAGGAAAAAAAACCAAGTGGCTAGCCATGTGGCTTTATCACCATCTATACGTTTGCTTATATATATATATAAGCACAGTGATTGTATGTAACTGGGTATATAGGTGTGTATAATGAAACAAATATATGTATGTATGTGTATATATACACACACATACGTACATATAGACACATATACATGTATGCAGCCTACATTATTATACACAGAAAGAAGAAACACACACATATATATATATATATATAGATAGATAGATATAAACATATGTGTATATATATATATATATATACATATATAGAGAGAGAAAGAAAACAAAAACAACCAATAAGTTTGATTCTTTCTGTATAGTTACTGTGCTGGCCACAAAAATGGCGAACTGTGCTGGCCACAAAAAATGGCGAAGTGTGCTGGCCACAAAACTGGCGAATACATGACATGGACATGGTGCATGCACGGACCTCTGGTGCTTTACTGGTGCTGCCTGAAGCGGTCTGGCTGCAGTGGGTCATGGCCGTGCTCCTCCACCACCATGGCATGCTCAGCCAAGTACTGGGCCATCTGGGACTCCGTGCTGAACCTTAATGGACAGCGGTTGTGTCGGTCGAAAAAAACGAACTTGGACTATTGTTTCAAACTCCTTTCAAAGAAAGCTTATCTGGGGCTTAGCTTATTTATGGCTTTCCGATCCATATTTATCTCAGCAATGCTTTAGAAAAGATTCGGAACTATATGGTTTCTGGAAAACCTAAACAATCAGGTCCATGGTGCCACTGGTAGAGTCTGTGGCAGCGAGCATAGTCGCCCTGGGTCCAATGGTCAATGAACCATTGGACCTTCCTGGCCCACGTTGGTTTCCCGTCCAGCCACATCACTGGTTCGTGGTCATGGAGCTCCTTTTGGAAGCTGCTGCACAGCTCCTGGACCCCTCTCCAATCTTCTTGGCTGTATCTGGTCAACAGCCAACATGCTTTGTGTTTCCAGCCTGTGTGTCGGTGTGGCACATCTGGCATGGCACCGGCTGGTGCAGCAGCAGTGGGTCGCCTGGCCTTTGGTGGTTCTTTTCCCACTTGCTTTGGCCCGAATCCAGGTGGTGGGTAGTCTGGTTCTCGTGGCTGCAGCTTGGGCGGCGGTCCTTGGAAAGCCCATGGGTCGTGGGAGGAGGTGGCCGGCTCTGGTGTTTGCTTCGGTGGCGGAACGACCATGGGTGTGTGGCCCAATGCTTGCTTTCGGAATGCGGCCGGGATGTTGGATTCTTTGCCTTTGCCTTTGCCCTTCATAACGTTGGCTTTGCTGATTGGGCCCACTGGTCGAGTGGGTTCCATTGGTGGCCTCGCCGCTTCCGTTGCTGACTTTGCTGGTTCCTTTGGTGGCCTCGCCGCTTCCGCTGCTGACTTTGGTGGTGCTGGCTGTGGTGCTTGTTGTCGCCGCCAGGGAGGTTGCTGCTGCTGTGGCTGTTGCTCTGCTGTGGGTGGCTGCTGCCGTGGCTGCTGCTGTGTTGTTGGCCCGGCTGCTTGGGATGGTGGTTGTTGCTGTTCCTTCCCTTGGGCCTCAGGGCCTTGTTGTGCTGTTGGTGGTGCTGCCTGCTGTGCTGGTCTTGCTGCGGCCTCTGCTGGGGGTTGTCGTGGCTGACTGGGTCCCCTGCCTCCGAATGTTACCTCCATGCTGTGTGTGGTTGCCTCTGACTGCCAACCATGGACCCATCCAGCTGGAGGAAATGCTGCCGCTGGAGGCACCATCGGTTGCAGCAGTGGTGCTGCTGAAGGCAGGCATGGTGCCACTGGGGGCACCATTGGTCCAACTGAAGGCAGCCATGAGGAGTCAGGAATGGTGCTGTCGGAGGCACCAATGGTGCTGTCGGAGCCAGCAATGGTGCTGTTCCAAGGGTGCTGTTGGAGGCACCAGTGGTGCTGTCGGCCCAAACTGTCCCAGCACTGGTCCCAGTCGGCCCAGCACCGCTGCTTGTTGGGCAGCAGCCTGTAGGTTCACCCAATCTGGTGGTGTCGGCCATGCGAAGACTTGGGTCCGTGCCTTGGCCGTGGACCTCTCCTGCACCACTGTCTCATGGGAGACTTCACTCATCGCAGGGCTGTGGGGATCGTACTCTGGACTCGGTGTCGTCGGCAGCACAGTCCCGTTGCCATCATCCATGGCTGCAGGCCACGTGGAGAAATGGAAAACGCCAAACAATGGCTTATTGCACTTAGGATTGTAATTGCAATCCTAAGTGCAGAAATTTTGCACTTAGGATTGTAATTGCAATCCTAAGTGCAGAAATTCTGCACTTAGGATTGTAATTGCAATCCTAAGTGCAAAACTCTTGTACTTAGGATTGTAGGTGCAATCCTAAATGCAACCACTGTTTGTTGAACACTGCTTGTAAGTTTCCATCTAGTCAGTCTGCTCGCATGGTCTGGGTGCGGCTTGTTTGGTGCTTGCGACTCTACTGAACCGCTGGAGAGAACGGGCGCGGATTACAACATTATGTGATGCACATGTGCCTGCGACTGGGGTCTGCTACCAGCTCACACTGGCACTCGGACAGGAGGTGCATGCACTATAGGGCTGCTGGGTTTGACATTGCTTATGGTGCTGCACTGGTTGCTGGGACTGGTGTTGGAGCTTGCTGGCCATGCTGGCTATATCCATATAAAACAAAAACTGGCCACGATGGCTGTCTTTCAATATGTGGATGAGAAATCTAAAGAAGCTGGCCATGATGGCTGTGGCTACATATAAATGTAAAACAATATGAACATGCTGGCCACACTGGCAATGGGTATACTGGCCATTCTGGCAACAAATCTGTATAAGTAGCAGTATATATACACTAGAATATATATATATATATATATATGAGTCTGTATATATATATATATATATATCTGCTATCCCCCCCCTCAAGGATCTACCCTTTCGTGTGTTTGAGAGCCGGATGGGAAATAGTTGATATTCTATAACGTATTCCCTTCTCTTTATAAGTCCTTCACTAAATACGCTTCGACTCGATCAAAGATTTCGCAGATCCTAAATTCTGCATTTCCTTCATATACACACTGAGTTTTTCCAAGCGACATACATTCGCGTACGGCTTCTTCTCGTGTTGCAAAAGAACGCAAGGTTGCATGCATGTTCTGTGTGTGTATAGGTTTTTGCATGCAGCAGTATGGGCTGTGAAGGTAACACGCAACAGGAGAGCAAAGATATGTCATCCCGTATCACGACAAGTATAGATATGAAAAGAGGACCCTATTTCTACACGTCCCATATATAGGACGCATCGGGATTATAGATAATATCCGCGAACACGAAATCTATCGATATTTCCAGGGTTCAATACCTTGTGTTTCACCTATATAGTGCCCTTTAAATTACATTTAAGAATACTTTGCAAAATTCCACTCACATAACCTTTATATCTTATAGAAATCCACCCGAACATCCTGTCGCATACCGTCTCCAAGACCACCTATATAGGATTCACCCCGCGCGCATTATATTACACATACCCTATAGGACACTATATACAAGACACTATATAGAATATCTTGCAGGATGTCCTTTGGAATACTTTCTCTATGTATCGTAAAGCCTTTCATATGGAATGCACTGATATCGAATACCCTCATGCCTTATTGAATACCCTAGAGCCTCGAGAATACCTTATCATATACTTTCAGTCACAGTCCGTATATCTTTTGAATATCTAGAATACCTTACAAAATACGACATAGAATACCCTACAAAATACCTTATGGAACACATACTACCCTCTATATGTCGTGCGCCTCATGGAAGACCGTCTGGAATACTCTAGAGAAGACCTTACAGGATGCCCATATGGCCCTATACATGACAGTCGTTGTATACAGTATATATACCATGAACCCATATAACATTTAGTGGCTCAAAACCAAACTTTCAACTTTTGGCCCCTAATAAGGTAATCTTGTTGCGAAAGTTTAAACTTCCTACACCCCCATAGGTATTTGGGAAGTAAGAGTACCTATAGTATAGATAACCTTTCAACGAGCCCAAGATCTGAGAACCCCTCATAAAGAAGCAGCCTATTGGGTAAGGGGTTTCTAGGAGTGATCCAGGAGTCGAAGAGAATAACCTAAAGAATACCACAAACCCCAAAGAATTTCGTACAGGTGACCCTAGGTAAGACGTTATAGAATATCCCCTATATACCTCATAGATATCTTCTTGAGTACCTTATAGCCGTATAGCCTATACATTACGTTATAGAACACGTTCTGTAAGATAATCTTTACGTTCATGTTGATGCCTTGTACAATCCCTTATACAATGCGTTATGGAGTACCCGATAGAAAGCCCGAAACAACGTTACATACTTGGCCTTTTATAGGCCTTGTACAATATCATCTGCATTTCCCTACCGACTAGCTTACAGAATACACAATATCTATGATACCCTCTGAGTACCCCATAGGAAGTCCTAAAGAACACCTAACGGATATTCTATAACATACCCGTAGAATGCACCATAGAATGCCTTGTAGAGTACTTTATAGATAACGGATTAATGGCAGGATAATCAGGAGCAGAATGCTCTGCGCTGTACCTGCTATGTGCCCAATGAAGAAATCAAAAACAAGAGCATATAGAACACCTTACACGATACTCCTCCTTTACATCTTAAAAATTTCATATAGATACCCATAGATTATAGAAACCGTTTATACCTTTATGAATCCTGTTGAATACCCGTTCGTGATTTCACCAATATTCACAGACCAAAAAAATGCTTGCCATCATTTTGAAAAACCGCTCACCAACACGCAGCACTCGAGATCCTGGTAAACACGTTCGGCACATCAAATTCACATTCCTCAACCCTGAACCTGAAACCCCGCCCACTTGGGACGAAGCGCGATTGCAGTCAAGCGGCCCTGATTCAACTCAATCGGCCCCGATTGAACTCAATCGGGGGCCGGATTGAAGATTGAAGATTGAAGATGCCCCGGCAAAAGTTTTCGAGGGAATCTTCAATCTTCAATCTTCAATCCGGCGCCCGATTCAACTCAATCGGCCCCGATTGAACTCAATCGGGGGCCGGATTGAAGATTGAAGATTGAAGATGCCCCGGCAAAAGTTTTCGAGGGAATCTTCAATCTTCAATCTTCAATCCGGCGCCCGATTCAACTCAATCGGCCCCGATTGAACTCAATCGGGGGCCGGATTGAAGATTGAAGATTCCCCGGCAAAGTTTTCGAGGGAATCTTCAATCTTCAATCTTCAATCCGGCGCCCGATTCAACTCAATCGGCCCCGATTGAACTCAATCGGGGGGGGGGGCGACTGAGTTCAATCGGCCCGATTGAACTCAATCGGGCCAGGGTGGAGTTCACCCAGCCACAAAACGGTCCATCGGGTAGGCCCTCCCCTCAAGGATCTTCCATTTTCGTGTGATGTGGCTCACAAACACACGAAAAAGGTAGATCCATGGGGGGGGATACCATATATATATATATATATCTCTGCCTGTATAAAAAATGATACATATATATATATGTATATATATATATATATATATATATATATATATTCCTGTGGATGTATATATACATGTAGATCTACACTGAAACTTTGAATCCCTATATGTTCCCGGACAGCTGAAACAATGTCTCTGTATGTCTTGAAACCTTACTACCTAAAAAAGACTTAAAACCTCCAAACCCTAAACCCTATACAAACTTAAAGACTATAATAATCCCAAAATGAATATCTACATGTCTAGAGATAGAAAGACACAGCCCTATATAAACCCTATTAAACCCTATAAGCACTCAACCCTATAGAAACCCTATAAACCCCTATACTTATAAACCCCATTATATATTATATATTTAAACCCTATATACCTTAACTTCAATAGATTTCTATCTATAATATCTCCAACCATCGAAACCTGAGATCCTTTGCGAATTTTTTGTCATCGCATGGAAGATGCAATGGAAGATCCATGGTGCCCTGGCCGCTCGCTCCATGGAAGACCATGCATTGTGCCTTTAGGCCGCTGGTCCTGCATGCCAGGTCACACAACAAAGGCAAGCAGAACATGCTGCTATGCGATGGTCCTGCATGGTCTTGGGACTCCGTGGGCTCGTCCGTGGGCTCCTCCGTGGCCTCGTCCGTGGGTTCCTCCGTGGGCTGCTCCATGGGCTGCTGGTTCTGGCTCGGGCTCCTGCAGGGCATTCAGAAAATCCATGACTGCCCAGTCTGGCCAATTTGGAGACGGAAAGGCCCCGCTATCATGGTCGCTCTCGTGGTCCGTTTGGCCCTCGTCTTCTGCAGCCCACCAATCCTGGCCCTCCTGGTTCACCTGGCCCTGGTCCTCGTGGTCGTCCTGGTCGAAGTGGCCCTGGTCCTGCCGTGGCTCATAGATCCACAGCCCACCAAAAATGGACTCGAACCAAGAGTGGCCGCAGCGGATGCAGGATCTGGCCTGGTGGATGTGATGGAGTGACACCATGGCCGCCTGGCACCTGGTGCACTCCACCCAGATCCAGTGGGTGGGCTCTGGATAGTTGAAGTTGGGCCGCTGGTTGGTGAACCTCGCCGTGGCATGCTGTGCACCAGGGTTCTGGACAACAGCAGTGGGTGGGACGTACCACCCGCAGGCCATGGTGAGGGCCGTGACCTGGTTGGCTGGCACCAATGGCCTTGCAAGCACCAATGGTGCAACCGCTGGATTTGGCATGGGTGCCACCCATGGCCCAAGCACCGGACCTTGGCCGGAGGGGCCTTGGCTGGAGCTGCCGTGGGGACCGCTGCCTCCGTGGAGGCTGTGGAGGCTGCCGTGGGCATGGCTGCCTTGCTCTTGGGAGCGGCACCGGACATTATGGTGCAAAATGCAAAAGCAAAGCTGGCCGTGGATGGCAAAAGTGTGCTGGAGCACGAAAGGCTGCAGCACAGTGGCAGGATCAACAATTCGAAACTGTGTTTGTGACTAGACATACTTTGTGTCTACAGCTTTGCCAGTATACATACATAATTCTCTATATATCAAAATCTGTAGAAAATTTAGTTGTTTATATAAAGAAATACCTACATGTCTTTATATATATATATATATATACATATATATATATATATATATAGCAAGACATATATAGAAACATGTAA